CTAACACAACCACTGACACAACTGACACAAGAACTGACACACTGGCACACCAACTGACAACACCTGACACAACCACTGACACAACGACTGACACAACAACTAACACAACACCTGACACAACCACACAACAACTGACACAACAACTGAACCAACAACTGACACAGCACCTGACATAACCACTGACACAACAACTGATACAATACCTAACACAACCACTAAGGCAACCACCGACACAACACCTGACACATCAACTGGCATAACCACTGACACAACAACTAACACGACAGCTGACACAACAACTGACACAAGTGACACAACAACTGGTATAACAAATGACAGAACAACTAACACAACCACTGACACAACTGACACAAGAACTGACACAGGAACTGACACACTAACTGACACACCAACTGACAACCACTGACACAACAACTGATACAACGTCTGACACAACCACAGACACAACGACTGACACAACACCTGACACAACCACTGACACAACAACTGATACAATACATAACACAACCAGTGACACAACAACTGATACAACAACTGACACAACACCTGACTCAACCACTGACACAACAACTGATACAATACCTAACAGAAACACTAAGGCAACCACCGACACAACACCTGACACAACAACTGACACATGAACTGGCATAACAACTGACACAAACACTGGCACAACTGACACACAAAGTTACATAAGGACTGATACAACAACTGACACAACACCTGACACAACGACTGACACACCAACTGACAACCACTGACACAACCACTCATACAACACCTGACACAACCACTGACACAACGACTGACACAACGACTGACACAACACCTGACACAACAACTGACACAACACCTGACACAACCACTGACACAACAGCTGATACAATACCTAACACAACCACTAACACAACAACTGACACAACAACTGGCACAAGTGACACAACAACTGGCATAACAACTCATACAAAAACTAGCACAACCACTGACACAACAACTGGCACAGCCACTGACACAACAACTGACACAAGTGACACAAGAACTGCCACAAGAACTGACATACTAACTGACACAACAACTGGCACAAGTGAAACAACAACTGGTATAACAACTGGCACAACCACTGACACAACAACTATCACAACCACTGGCACAACTGACACAAGAACTGACACACTAACTGACACACCAACTGACAAACACTGACATAACAACTGATACAACACCTGACACAACCACTGACACAGCGACTGACACAACTACTGACACAACACCTGACACAACGACTGACACAACCACTGACACAACAACTGATACAATACCTTACACAACCAGTGACACAACAACTGATACAACAACTGACACAACACCTGACTCAACCACTGACACAACAACTGATACAATACCTAACAGAAACACTAACACAACACCTGATACAACACCTGACACAACAACTGACACATCAACTGGCATAACAACTGACACAACCACTGGCACAACTGACACACAAACTTACAGAAGGACTGATACAACAACTGACACAACACCTGACACAACGACTGACACGACAACTGATACAACACCTGACACAACACACTGACAACAACTGACACAACGACTGACACAACACACTGACAACCACTGACACAACGACTGACACAACAACTAACACAACACCTGACACAACAACTGATACAACAACTGATACAATACCTAACACAACAACTAAGACAACAACTGACACAACACCTGACACAACACCTGACACAACACCTGACACATCAACTCGCACAACAACTAACACAACCACTGGCACAACTGACACAAGAACGTACACAAGCACTAATACAACAAGAACACAACACACTGACACAACCACTACTACTACTGACACATGTGAGACAACTGGCATAACAACTGATACAACAACTAACACAACCACTGACACAAGAACTGGCACAAGTCACACAACACCTGGCATAACAACTGACACAACAACTAACACAACAACTGACACACCAACTGACACAAGTGACACAACAACTGGCATAATAACTGGCACAACCACTGACACATCAACTAACACAACAAGTGACACAACCATTGACACAACAAGTGACACAAGTGACACAACAACTGACACAACAACTGACACAACAACTGACACAAGAACTGACACACCAACTGACACACCAACTGACACACCAACTGACAACCACTGACAACAACTGGCACAACTGACACAACAACTAACACAACAACTGACACACCAACTGACACAAGTGACACAACAACTGGTATAATAACTGGCACAACCACTGACACATCAACTAACACAACAAGTGACACAACCATTGACACAACAAGTGACACAAGTGACACAACAACTGACACAACAACTGACACAAGAACTGACACACCAACTGACACACCAACTTACAACCACTGACAACAACTGGCACAAGTGACACAGCAACTGGCATAACAACTGACACAACTACTGACAACCACTGACACAAGCACTGACACAACAACTGGCACAACAACTGACAAATCCACTGACACAACAACTGACAGAGCCTTCTTGGCTTGGAGTGAGAAACTTTCAGACAACCAGGATTAACCCTCTATGATAATATTTTGTCAAGATACTTATATATGGTCATTTTCACTTCTTTTATCAGGATATTCTCCAGTTTGTATGTATTCCCCGTTTCAAAAGACTATCATATTGGAGTGATCTAAATTTACCTCTAAAACCTTATTTTACACAATAATCAATAATTATTACAAAACCTGCAATTACAGGCAAAATATTATTTCTAGCGGCACGCCTTTTTTGATAGCGCTTCAGAGTTGCTTTCCTTGGCAATCTTGTTTATTTACGGCTTTCATCATGCAGTGTGTTCCACATGATTCCATATCGTTCTGAGAGAATAATGATGGAGCCTACCTTTGCTAGAATGCTCGAGAACTGTGTAAGATATAGCCTGGTTGTTGTGTTGTGCGACACAGACTTATCACATGACTGGATTTATGTACATCTGCCATCATCAAGACAAATCGTTCTTGCCTATTCGTCTACTGTCATTGTAAACAACCTTCAATCAGCATATATCTGCTCTCACTGCAAATGTCAAGACTCTGGTGAGTCAAAATTTTATATTTGTGACCCAACATTTTAGATTTGTGACTCAGTTGCATTGTACTAGAAATCTGTATTGTCATTTATTGTAGCTTAGTCATTGTTTGTTCAATATATTATTGAATATTTTAGACTTGTCTGTGTTCTATTTTGCTGGTTCAAAGGGGACTCTAAAATCTTTTGTCACGGCAATTTATTAACCGTAACAATAACATATAGTGAGTGTTATAAGTGAGTCTAAACGTTTGAAAGGAAGTATAAATTGGATCTGGATTAAGCATACAACCTTAAAGGACAATGCCAGATGCTGTAAAGGTTTCTGGTTTACACTTCACATAAATAATAAATATAAATATATACAGTAACTGTTGGTCTGCGAAATCAAACACTTTACGCTTAAGTCGTGCAGGCGTTATAAATAGTGTATCTGGGCTTCACAGTCTGTGCCTCGTGATTAATAATTTAAGCGAATTTTTTTTTATCCCTCCTTGTGTTTTTGGATCAGATAGAATACGTGAATAATTACAATCCATGCAATAAACAGAATGATGGTTTGCAATGAAAATAGAAACAGATTCAGTAAACGTCGAAGTAACATCCTCAAATTCATACATCACAGAGTAAAGCAAAGACAGTGCGACATCGTCTGCACAGATGACATCCACGTGCACAACGTCTCTGTAACCTCCTCAAATTTGTAAATCACAGAGTACATGCAAAGACGGTGGGATATCGTCTACACAGATGACATCCACGTGCACGACGTCCATGTGTCATCCTATAACATCCTGCACGTCCACTGAATCAGACGCGTCGGTAGTGCAGGGAATTATCTTCCGCTATCACAACGACTGGCAGAACTGTGTTCGTCCATGGAACAGTCGCAGGTCAATCCGAGACAACATCACCGTGTCACTCCAGGTCACTTGCATATCGTGTTTGGCAACATTTGTTCATGTTAATGGTCATAATGTACGTCCTCGTTACGTCATGATTGTGACCCAGTTTCTCCAGCTGCAAAACATCCATATTTTGGTTTGGTTTGATTTGGTTTGGTTTGATTTGGTTTGTTGTTTGACGCCGCACTAAGCAATATTCCAGCTATATGGCAGTGATCTGTAAATAATCGGGTCTGGACCAACCAGACACTCTAGTGATCAACAGCATGCACATAGATCTACGCAACTGCGATACGATGACATGTGTCAACCAAGTCAGTCAGCCTGAACAAACGATTCCGTTAGTCGCTTCTTACGACAAAAATAGGTTGGTGAAGACCAATTCTATCCCGGATCTACACAGGTCAACATCTGTGTCCATGCCAAGACCAGAACACAGTCCTTGCATGGTTTACCCGAAATAGGTGACTTTGGCTGTAACATACACTCCCACACTGACCACTTCAACGACGTGGATCTACGTCTACTCTCCTGGAGATGTGCGATCATATCATGTCCCACAACTGTATAGGTCAGAGTGAGTGAGTGAGTGAGTTTGGTTTTACGCCGCTATCAGAAATAGTCCAGCAACACCACAGCGGAGGACACCAGAAGTGGGCTTCACACATTGTTCCCGTGTGGGGAATCGAATCCAGGTCTGCGGCTCGGCAATGGAACGCTTTAAATTTTCTATGTATACAATATCCGTATGTGCTTAAGAATACATCATTTAAAGTGAAAGGCAACAAACCGAAACATCAGTCTCATTAACCAATTCAGACAATGACTTACTTTTCAGCCGATCCGAATTTTCTCGTGTGAAAGTGAAAAGAGACACTAATAACAACTATGGTTACACTGAATTCCAATTCCTTGTTTCATAAGAAAATGGTATTAAGAAATCGTATTTCTGTATTTTACGTCGATGTTTAGGCAGCATGTCGTTAACTAAGACGTCACAGACTGCCCTGTTTGAAGAGGTTGTATACTAGGCACATAAAGAAACTGTGCATACAAATATTTATAATCTAAATTTATCAAACCTGTCTAGACACATAAGGATTTAAACCCAGAGATTAGTGACATGTATCCAACATGCATGCACGTGCCACGTTACGTGACGTCAGTGGGTTCGTCCTTGAGACGTGCAATACGTTGTTGCACGTTCATTCTGGGAAAGAGAAACAGAGCAAATGAATGCCACACAATACTGTCACTTTGGAAAGCTCAACCCCTGCCCTTGCGATCGTTCAAAAAATTAAACAGCTATTGAAACGCATAGCATGCCAAGGCTCACGTCTGCACAACGTCATGAGGCCATTGGGATGGTCCGTGGGGGAATGTCTCAACGACAAGTGGCTGCACATTTCCACTGCCACCGGAACACTATTTCTGCATTGGTGAGACGCTACCAGAACACAAATGACGTCATCAATCGGCCACGTTCTGGACGTCAACGAGTAACAACGCCAAGACAGGACACATGGATATGGGTGACCCATCACGGGATCAGACCACGACGTCCCGCCATACGGCCTATCCTGACACAACGTCATCGACAAGCTCGCCGAATGTGGTGCCAAAATCATGTCCGCAGACCCTTGTTTTGGTGGAGAAATGTTATTTTCACAGATGAGTCCAGGTTTAACATTTCACATAGTGATGGACGTCAACGTGCCTATAGACGCGTGGGAGAACGTTATGCACAGGCCTGTGTATTGGAGAGGAATCGCTTTGGTGGTGGTTCCGTGATGATTTGGGATGGAATAACAGCGCGCCAAAGAACTCCTTTGGTGATTGTTCAGGGCAACTTAACTGGTGTGGGCTACAGGGATCAGATTCTTCGACCTGTGGCAATTCCTTTTCTGCAACGTCATGGCCCTGGGTAAACATTCCAACAGGACATTGCCCGCCCTCATACGGCAAGAGTTACTATGGATTTCTTGCAACACCACACCGTTGACTTACTGCCTTGGCCTGCAAATTCACTGGATCTCTCCCCGATAGAGCATGTTTCGGACGAGATGGATCGACGTCTACGCCGTCTTCCTCATCAGCCAGATAACGTCCTTGACCTTGCAACAGAACTTGAGAGAATCTGGCGTGACATCCCACAAGCCTTCCTTGCACGTTTGATAGGCTCTATGCTTCGTCGATGCACTGCTGTTCTCAATGCCGATGGTGGACATACCCGTTATTGAGCTTGTGACATGGTCGTTTGACCCCTGTGATAGATTTTTCAATTGAAATTCTCCCGACTTGTTATGGTCTCATGATCCCTCCATTAAAGTTTATATGTACCTTTGACATTGTTATCGTACTTATCAACTGGGATAATATTTTGACAATGCACAGTTTCTTTATGTGGCTAGTATACAAGGATTCACAATTCATCTGACGCACTGGTTACACCTGTTATGTGTTCTTTGCGCTAATCAAATGTATTTTTGTAACGAACAATGTGCTTGATATAATATCAAGTCCGTACCAGACCGCCAGACGTTTATTGTAGCCGAGCCTCGTTTTGAGATTTACCACGATTTCCAGATTACCGTTTGTCAGAGCACGACGTGTTTGCAAGGATTAGAAGGAGCGTAGTGTTGCAATATACAAGTAATTAGATGTATCAAATAATACTAATTAATATTTATATATCCAGTTGAATGAGTTGGTCTCAAAATTCTTGACTGGTTATTGTACTAAGTTGCGCAATAGGACGGAACTCAGTCAACAGGAAACGAGGCTGTTGTGTAATCAATGTTTTGACTTGGGAATCTTGGATTTAAGTCCAGACCAGCGGATCCTGGTACAAACAAAGGATGCATTATATTATTATTATAGGATACTTATATAGCGCACATATCCAGGCAACTAGTGCTTGCTCAAGGCGTAATATGTTTTCCCTCGATCATTGGATGTAAATCTCAATGGCACATCGTATTATCAATCTCAACTCCCTGGGGAGTATACAACTCTTGCAGCCACTAGGCGCACCGAGTTATTGTGGCTTTCTCATCCTAACTAGGTACCCATTCACAGCTGGGTGGACTGGGACACATAGTCACAGTACTTTGTCCAAGTTTACTGCACGTTGCTGTACCCGCAACTAGGTTTTTGCACGTATTCATGTGGCCACCATCTGGTCATATACCAACGGACTTGTGGGTGCACAGTGCACAGGGTTGTGTACTGTACACTATGCGTTGTGACAACACTGAAAGAGTCTGAACACAAAGTTGACTCCAACGTTTTTACACCCGGTCACAGGTGGGCTCGATACCGACACCTCAACCTCGCTGGATTACTAGCCTGGCGCCTTAGCCGGCTAGCCCACCGCGCCCCTATACACCTCTACATTACCATAACACAAACATATTATCCCTCTGTTATCACACCGTATATCGTCATCATGTGAAGAAAAACAATTAAATATGTTTGTATATGCGTTTATTTACAATCGGTAGTCAACAATAAAACATTTCAATCCATTTAACAATTACAGATTAGAATTTCGCGGGATACAGTTTTTAAAGTAAACATTCTGTTTTTTCATCATTGTTCAGGGTTGACCATATTCCAAGACAATTAAGCTTCGGAGTAGAGTGGGTTGTCGATGGACAGCGACGGGTCTGAGCTGAGATTTTGAGGCTCAAGTTCACTCATCTGATACTGAAACACATAGATACAGCATCAGATTCATTGTATAAAACATGTCAAGTAATTAAACCATTACATGACAGACTGATCAGTAAGTGAGTAACTATGGCGAAACCCGCTATAAGCAATATTCAGCTGTATCACAGAAGGGGACACCAGATTTCGTTTTCAAACATTGTACCCATGTAGAATTTGATAGGTTTAAACCAATATAAAATACTAATTATTGCGTGTAACGGCCAATCTGCAGTAAATTAGTCCACTATTTTGAATTCCTTATTTCCAAATTTGCCTCGTGACCTTTTTGATTGCGAATTTCCTTTCAAGCCAAATATTGTGGCTGCACATGATATGAGTTAAATTTCATTGCTTACGTCGGCGTCTCCGCTTCCGTAGTCGTACACAGGATTGCTCAAGCCTTGACTTCCGGAGCCGTACAGGAGTTGCCTGAAAACAGAAATGTTGCGGTATGAAGGTGAACAGCTGACAATAGAATAACTGATTGAGCGAGTGATCACACATTGCTCTTAAACGTCCCAGCAATATTCCAAAGTACTCAGAGGTCTTATATATTTCCAAAATTATCAGATGCTCAGTTCTGTCTGTTTGACCAACAGGTTTGACTCAAGTCATTTACAATAACCACTCCATGGCTGCATACAGATACATTTATCAGTTAAGGATTTCACAAACTATATCGACATATTATCTGATCCTTAACTGATCAGATCACGCCCATGGCCCCACACAACGCACCTGGCTCTTCGACGTCGGTAGTAGAAGAGTCCGCCGACCACGCCGCCCACGGCAAGTAGCACCAGGACAACGCTGAGGGAAGCCGCTAGGGCTGCTGCAGATGGAAAGATGGAGAGTAGCAGTACATGCATGTTACATACTGAAGAGGTTATTATGTCCATAATGAAGAGGTTATTATGTCCATAATGAAGAGGTTATATGTCCATAATAAACAGTTTACATGTCCATAATGAAGTGGTTACATGTCAGTAATGAAGAGGTTACATGTCCAGAATGAAGAGGTTACATGTCCAGAATGACTTGGTTAAATGTCCATAATGAAGATGTAGGACGTCAATACTGAGGAGTTACTAGTCTGTCTTGAGGGGGTTACTTCAGAGGAGGTTGAATGTCAATATTGAGGAGATTACTCAGGAGGTTATATGATACATAAAGCCTAGACACTTTGGGATGTTGGGCAATTTTATGTGGGCATTATAATCAAATAGGAAGCAGTTAGTCGCCACCTCTACAGACGAGATCGTGTTTGTCGATCACAGGGACGTACATGTTCTACAAATATGAGTTCCAAGTGTCACAAGATGAACCACCCACCTGTGTTAGTTCCAGTGTTCTGTACAGAGGCTTCTGTGGGGCCTTGGGTGTTCTGGTGACAGCGCCGCCCTTGATACCCAGAGGAACAGCTACAACACGGTTGGGGTGGGTCAGGAAATAGGTGAATACAAACATATTGAATTCAAATGGAGAAAATGAAAACAGCCTTACATGGAGTGTTTGACGCCACAGATCAATGTTCTGTGTGTACATAAAAGACTTGCTTTAACCAGAGAAGGTTTGTGTCATATGGTTGGCAATAGCATACAGAAATGTGTATAAAATCACAAAACCTCAGCAGAATTTACATCTTAAACTTATTATTTGTTATTTTCAATTTAATATATACATATTTCGATAGACGCTATATCGATCTTCAACCACATGTCATGAGTGCTAAAATATAGAAACTATCGTCAATACTTTCTTCTAATTAAATCCCAATGTGAGAAGCAAACATACGATCACAGTTTGCCATTAATTAGAGATTAAAAACAGTCTTACTTGCACGATAGACCCTTGTTTCCAGACTTTACGACACACGTCCCTCCATTCAGGCAGTAGTTGGTCGGGCATACTGTAAAAACAAGCAGTGATTGGGTAGGCAGGTGAATTGAGCGTCATACTATGGCAATAGAAGGACTACCTGCAGTACTCAACTGTGAAGATCCAAAGTGAGTGAGCTTTACGCAGCTTTTAGCAATATTCCAGCAATATCACGGACACCAGATATGGGCTGCACATATCATACCCATGTTGGGAATCGAACCCGCGTTTTCGGCGTGACGAGCCAACGCTTTAACCACTAGGCTACCCCACCGTCCCGTACCCAACTGTGAAGATCCAGGTTAGAATAGAAACCATGATTGTCGTAAGAAGCGACTGACGCGGTCGGGTGGTCAGGCTCCCTGACTTGGCTGACTTGGTCATCGTATCCCAACTGTGCACGCGCTACCCGTGTCCTGCACATGGTTCATGCTGACAAACATTCTTCTCATTCTTCCCAGCGACCCTTCGTATCCCGGTGGATAAAACCGCCAAGCTAGAGAGCAATGGGTTGCGGGCTCAAAACCAGTAATTGCCACTATATGTTGGAAATTTTCAATATTTTACGATCAGCCATAGCAAGACAAAGTTGTATCAATCATAAATAACGGTTATTTCAAAACCTCATATCAGGTTAAATAACAACCATTTCAAAACTTAGGTTATGAAATGGTCGAAATTTAACCTGATATGAGTTTTCGAAACGTGTACTTCAAAACCTGGGTTTAGAAATGATCGGTGCAAAGTCACGGCAGAGGTCTACCGGGTCCTGGAAGGAACCTACTTTACTGCAGAGAAAATCGGAGATAGGTTTATAATGCAGCATTAAGGAGGTGAGAGTGTGGTTTATATTTTCAGTACACATGTAGGTTTTTTTTTGGCTTTTTCAAAATGGAAAACGAAACGACGTTGACGCTGAACAAAGACAAATGTTGTTGTGTTTATACGACTAACTGAGAACAATATTATTTCCTACTCACCTCCACAGCTTGCCTCATCTTGACCAAATTGGTCGCCGACGTTCTGGGTGCAGTCGGAGTTTCCATTACAGATCATCCATCGACCCAGACACTGTCGTTTTTGGAGGCAGTAGAAGCTGTTTTGGGAGCACTTTTCTGAAAGGCGTAATATCAACGTTATCACAACACAGATAACAGCATCACTCACTAAAATACAATAACACAAATGCATGTGTGCTTAACGGTTATCAATCAGTGTTCACTCACAACAGGCTGTTTATTATACAGTGTTATTTTACGTATTGCGTTTCTCTATGCTCACATTTATATCTTAAGAAGTTGTCTTAAGAGTTTGGTTTTACGACGCTTTAAGCAATATTCCAGCAATATCACGGCGGGGGCCACCAGAAATGGGCTTCACACACTGTGCCCGTGAGGGGAATCAAACCCGAGTCTTCGGCGTGACGAGCGAACGCTTTAACAACTCGACTACCCGACCGCCCAAGGAAAAAGGAAGCCCAGTGACGTAACCGTATTAAGGCCATGAGTCAATTCAAGTCTGCTAAGCTCTAAACTCAGCTCAGTTGCTTCATTCAACAGAGGTTCCTGCTTCGTATATTGCTACAGTAAATATTCTTTGTGTTTGTTTCAAAGAAGCTGTTACAATTGTTCAACAGAAGATTCGTCGTAACTCTCATTCCATGACAAACGTTCCAGTCGTAGTACCAATACGATCGTAACTCTCATTCCATGACAAACGTTCCAGTCGTAGTACCAATACAATCGTAACGCTCATTCCATAACAAACGTTCAAGTCGTAGTGCCAATACGATCGTAACTCTCATTCCATGACAAACGTTCCAGTCGTAGTGCCAATACGATCGTAACGCTCATTCCATAACAAACGTTCCAGTCGTAGTGCCAATACGATCGTAACTCTCATTCCATGACAAACGTTCCAGTCGTAGTGCCAATACGATCGTAACTCTCATTCCATGACAAACGTTCCAGTCTTAGTACCAATACGATCGTAACTCTCATTCCATGGCAAACGTTCCAGTCGTAGTGCCAATACGATCGTCACTATCACACTGACGCACAACAGTCGTAGCTATGATCGCTTTGTTATTCCTGGGTTCCTATAGGCCTATATTATGTTTACTAGACTTACCACAAGAGTTTTCATCTGAGCCGTCGGGGCAGTCGCTTACACCATCACAGAGAAGTACGGACGAGATACACAGTCCAGAACATGCAAATTGACCATCTGGACACGATGGACCTGATGTCGGCTTTGGAGTGGATGGAGTGCTCGACGTGACTGTCTTTGCTGAAAGAAAACCAAAACCAAACTCTTTACAACAATACTTTTTCGAAATACACTTTCGGAACTGGAAGATGTGTGGTTCATACTCGTGTCCTAAACAGTCATTCTAAGATCTTCTTTGTTTGTAGTTAACACTTTTGCACGCTGGTCTGTAAATAAGTCTCAACCAATATCATGACCATCGTTCTACACAATTGGGATACGATGACATGTGTCAACCAGGCCATCGAGCCTGACAACCCGATCCCGTTGCCTCTTACGACAAGCATGGGTTGCTGAAGACCAATTCTAACCCGTATCTTTACGGATGTAATCATTGTAAGATGCCTCAAGGGTTGGCCATTGTGCTGGCATCATTTGGACAGATGTGAAATAAATAATACATTAAAATTAATATACTTAAGTTTGTTTTCGGATGGTAAATGACACATTATTTTCAACATACAACCCGCTCCCGGATCAGATTTCAGGTTTGTGTCACTCAGATAAAAACACCCAGAAACTTACAATAGATTGAATGAGAGATGGTTGGGCAACTGGCTGGTTCGTCACTTCCGTCGGGGCAGTCCTGCACTCCATCGCAGTGCCAGGTATTCGGTTGACACTGATTGAGGGGTCCACACATGGTCTGTTGGTAGCTACACACAAGTCCACTAGATGGTCGAGGCTCTGTCGATCGAATTAATATAACAAGCTCAGTGATGTAATCGTCACTGGTTTATAAGATCCGCAAAGCAGATTTGGCCGCCATATTGGATTGTTTTCTATTTGTATTTTGCATTGTGAAGCTTGACTGAATTTGGTCTCCCTAACAATACGTTCTACTTAGTGGTGTGGTCGCTGATGGTGAGGAGATTTGGCAGCCACATTGGATTTTTAATTCGTATATTGTGTTATAAAACATGAGTGATTTGGGTCCTGTCTTTTATGTTTTTCGTGCTACGGTTATCCTGTGTCATTGATAGAGCATATTTAGCTCGGTAGTGTAATTGTCTACTCTAACTTACTCGACAGCTTGATAAGTGTAATCTGGAATACACCACGAATGTTGAAATACTAAGATCGCTGTTACTAATTTGTGTTGCTTTTTTTGCTTTCCATTCATGATGTTTGAGTGCTTCTTGTACTGAGGAGAATTTACGAACATCTGGTGTTAGGATTTCCACGTGTCGCAATAGTTGTGTTACATCAAGCAGTATGGTTTGTCCTAATGGATATTACCTTCCAAGAATAAATAATGGTGAACATATCTTTGTGAATCTCCATTAGATGGACATCTATACTCACTTCCGGTGGTACATTCCGGGGTGAATGTGACGTCATCAATAGCTATGTCAGCAAGTTTACCAGAGCCTCGTTCTGCCTCGAAGATGACCTTGAACCCGAGATTGTTACCAATAGGAATGTTGACTCGGGTCCACCACGCACCGTGGTTGTGTTGGAGTGTCCAGGCCAGCTCTCGTTGACCTTGCGTATTGACCAGGTACACCTTAAGGTGTGAAACATAAACGGCTAGTAAACACATGTTTAACATAAACAGTCCATAAGTATGATTACATGTACACAATGTGTGTGTGTGTGTGTGAGAGAGAGAGAGAGAGAGAGAGAGAGAGAGAGAGAGAGAGAGAGAGAGAGAGAGAGACAGACAGACAGAGAGAGAGAGAGAGAGAGAGAGAGAGAGAGAGAGAGAGAGAGAGCGCGAAAGCATTTGCACATTTTTGTCAGTATACGCGTATCTCCAGCCAAAACTATTTGGTTGTTTTCATGTTAACTCGTAGTAATTGTATAAGAGCGATTAGTAAAAATACCCAGTTATTTGATTGTTCCGAATTAAACTTACATGTTTGCTTATTATATTTTGGAAACGTCTACCTAGTTAAGTAAGATAGATCTATAGTTAACAAACTTATTTTTCGTGTGATACTATCGTGTTCAAGCAAGTTAATATACGTCACATTGTTGTATACCAAGAGAAGTATCTCCCTTGTAAATCACACAAACTTTGAAATGTCACTAAAGGAACGTATTTATTACATGACTCTTGTCTTACGTTCAGAGGTCCCATGTCAGTCGACCCGTGCATGTAGTAGTAAAATCTCAGATGGCACAGCTCGTTGCTGGGAGGGAATTGGGGCGTCGCTACACTGGCGACGTCGCCAACAGCCATCTTGCTGCTGTCCATGAAGATGTATTTTCCTAGAAAATGAAATTACATGAGAACATAACAATCTGCTCCATGTTTTGGCCTAACTCCCTTCTTTGCGGAACGCGGTCGGAACAGGCCTTTGGGTACATCATTATTTTGCTTAATACACTGAACCAAGAAGGGATTAGAACTCCGGTTTTCAGCGTGACGAACGGATGCGTGAACCGCTGGGCTACCCCACCGCCCTCTTGTCCATAGGTCAACAATGTAAACTGTTACAGGTATATGTGCTTCATGACTCAAGTTGGATACACACCTCCAGCGCGTCGACCGTGGTCACTGCCAGGTCCGGTCCCCTTTGTGGGTGACCGGGCAGCCTGGTACCACTGGGCGTCAGAACTGTTGACCGATGTCCATTGGCATGTACTCATCCAGTCCTGGCTGTCAAATGTGCAGTCTCCGAGCTGGGTGGCTGCAATCAAAATAGTTCTGATATAGCATCATCATCATCATCATCGCCATTATCATCATCACCGCCGACATCATCATCATCATCATTATCATCATGCACTACTATATTCACACTTCGCAGACACCATCATCATCATCATCATCATGCAGCGCTATATTCACACTTCGCAGTCATCATCATCATCATCATCATCATGTAGCGCTATATTCACACTTCGCAGTCACAGATGACATAATCCATTGTCGTGTGAAGTGTGCCTTGGATTTGATTATGAACATATGTCACTCTGAAACACATGACGTATCTAAATGTGTACGTTGAATAAAGACAAGAGCAAGGATAAGAAGAGGATGAACAACAATACATGTATCTAGACGAGTTTGTATTCAAATACTATTCTCAACACCCTGGGGAGTACACAGCAGTCGAAGAAGGGTTACTTACGGCAGTTACTTGCAAGTTCATCTGAGCCATCATTGCAGTCGGATGTTTTGTCACACATGTTTATGTAGTCCACACATTGCATCTGGTTTGAACATATGAACTGGTTGTCACCGCACTTTTGTGCCAGTGTTCCTGGAACCGGTGATAAGAGTCAAATATATAAACACAGAAATATTTTTCCATTATCATTGTATGACTAACTGTGGTTGAACATGTCAAGTAAACTGTTGCTTAACTAGCAGTTATAACTGTATCTGGGTTGTTCGTACCTACATAGCCAACTTACCATTACACTGAGAGACACTTTGCGTGTTTGACCGTGGCTATTCCAGCAGTACCGTGGTGAGGGTTCGCCATATTTGGCTTAATATATTTTAACATGTGGAAATAGGACACTTTATTGCAGCGGTCTGTATATAATCGAGTTTGGACCGGACAATCCAGTGATCAACACCATGAGCATCGATCTACGCAATTGGGATATGATGAGTGAGTGAGTGAGTTTAGTTTTACGCCGCACTCAGTAATATTCCAGCTATATGGCGGCGGTCTGTAAATGATGGAGTCTGGACCAGACAATCCAGTGATCAACAGCATGAGCATCGATCTGCGCAACCGATGACATGTGGGAACCAAGCCAGCAAGCCTGACCACCCGATCCCGTTAGTCGCCTCTTACGACAAACATGGGTTACTGAAGACCAATTCCAACCTGGATTTCACGGGTCTGGGATATGATGACATTTGTCAACCAAGTCAGCGACCATCCGATCCCGTTAGTTGGTTGCCTCTTACGACAAGCATGGGTAGCTAAAGATCATTTCTAACCCGGACCTTCACGGGTTATAAGAAATTGTACGTATTAAAATCCCTCTTCGTGGACTGATGCAAGCCTTACCAGTTCCACAGTTGTTGAGTGCTACGTCATCGAGCGCAATGTCGCCTTGGTAACCATTTCCTCTTGTAGCCTCAAAGAGTATAGCGAACTTGGTCCTGGCACCGATGGTAACATTTGCCTGTTGCCATGCCTGTCCCTGGTTTCCTGTCTTTGACCACAGTGAAACGATGCCACCCTGTACACTCTTTACAAGGAGACTGAGTCTCCCGACGGTTTGGCCGTACATGTTGTACCAGAACGACACTTGGCAGTTGGGGCCGCTCTGTGTGTAGATGGAAGTCTCGAGGACTGCAGTATCGCCATTGTGTAACCCTCCACTGGTCTCAATGTATATGTAGTGGCCTACAAGAGATGACGTCAATAGCTTTGAAAAAAGGTATTGGGTAATTTTACCAATTTATCCATCTGCTACGATTAAAGTAAAACGATAAACATTTAGTCTTTTGATGTTAAATGAATTATAGAGTTAAGGCCAGACACTCCAGCCATTGATATCACCCATATACACAGTCTGTTACCCTAACCCAGTGTGCCAAATATTTTCCAAATTTTGCTGGCCAGTCGGGCTAGCTATGCCTGAAAGTTACAAGCCCAAAAAATAATTGACTAGCCCGAAAACTGAATGTAGAAACTAAGCAAAAGATTACAAAAGTAGATCAGAGTAAGATATTGTCAGCATGGCACGGATTTCATCATTAAGCTCCTAATATGATGAATATTAGGTCACTGCCCTGACAACTCGATCCCAGAAGTCGACAGTTTCGACAAGGAGGAAGACCAATCCCAAGTCTAGATCTTCCCTCCTTAGCATCAAAATCATCACGATAGTGCTTTATTTGGCGATAATCTCATGTGTCTGTTAAAACGCCATTGTTACGCGCTATCAAATTATTTTATTTCGGCATTATTTTAGAGAAAATATTCTAATGAGTGAGCGAGTTTAGTTTTACGTTTGTAGCAATATTCCAGCAATATCATGGCGGGTTCACCAGAATGGGTTTCACACATTGTGTCCATGTGGGAAATCGAACCCGGGACTTCGGCGTGACGAGCGAACGCTTTACCAACTAGACTAGCCCTCCCCGAAGATAGTGTAAGGTAATACCTAAAAGTCATTGATTGATAATACGATCATATTTGTCGGTAATTATTCATATTAGAATGTTTTTGTGATAGTTTGTGCAATTACCTTTACTACTGAACGTATACATATAAATGTACAATTTTCTTCACATTATGGAAACGTCGGTCGTAACAATGTTTAAAAATAATTTTGTTAGAATACTCTGAAGAAACCCACCACTTGGAGAGAGGAAAGTGTGATCGCTGGCAGGTCCAGTATTGACACTAGTTGTTTTTCCGGTGTGAGTAGTCCAATCAAAGTTCTCTCCCTTGTCGTTCTTCCATCCACACAATCCATCTTCGAACGTGCATGATGTTCCTGAAATTTCAATTTCTTTCAAAACATGCATTTGGTCGCCTGAAATGAAATTCTCTTAAAAATATGCTGTGCTAAAAGAAAAACAAACCTCGAAATGTTTATTTGTCCCTTTCAACATAATGTATTTTATATATGTCCTGAAACACTGAGTGAAAGATGATCTCATCTCAAAAACATCCTAATAATTCTATATGAGACAAAAAGCAATTAAGATTAATAATTTGGGTTACAGTGACATTGATACAATAGTCACTGACAATGTGATATTTTGGAGGGAGGGCGTGTTGGATACTGATTTGAAGAAAAAAATCCCGAAAATAGTTCTTACTGTTTAAAAAAAAGTTCATTGAACACACTCGTCTGATTAACATTTTGTCTTCTCATTTCAGAACTGAAACAATATGAAGCTTGGATTGAAAAAATCAACATAGTTTAGGCTCATAGCATTAAACGCCCGTTAGCATTACCGTTAGGAAAGTGAGTGAGCGAGTGAGTGAGTGAGCATAGTTTTATGCCTCTGTCAGCAACATTCCAGCGGGAGACACCTGAAATGAGCTTCACACATTGTACCCGTGTGGGGAATCGAACCCGGGTCTTCGGCCTGACGAGCGAACTCTTTAACCACAAGGCTACCCCACCGCCACGGTTAGGATAAATGCGGTCCACACGTTTACTTTGCAACAATGTATTTTCTCTATTACAGTATCTGTACTGGACAAACCTGTGCGACTGTTTTAGATGTTTTAAACTTCAAAGTTTTGCCTATGATAATAATAATGCTGCTAAAACATTTTAAAAACTAAACTAACTTGACACTTCTTTCTCATTAACAAGGGTCTGGTGTGTTTGATTATAATGATTTTCCATACCGCAGTTTATTTCATCGCTCAGGTCGCCGCAGTCGTCGTGGAAGTTGCACCTCTCGTTCCAACTGTAGCAGTTTCCGTTGGAGCAGCTGCGCTGGTTGTGTGCACACGTAGATGGCGTCGTGGGGGGAGGCGTGGCTTCACCGGGAATATGCCCTGTAACACATGGATGTGTCGAGTGAGTGGGTGAGTGAGTGAGTGAGTGAGTGAGTGTGTGAATGAACGCCGAACTCAGCATTATTCCATCAATATCGCGACGGTCTGTAAATAATCAAGTCTGGACCAGACAATCCAGTGATCAATAGCATGAGCACTGATCTACGCAGTTGGTGAACCATAAAGTGTGTTTACCAAGTCAACAAGCCTGATCGACCAATCCCGTTGGTCACCCCTTACGACAAGTATGGATTGCACAAGATCAACTCAACACTGATCTTCACAGGTGGATGTGTGAATACTGCACATGTAAATAACTCATATACACACATGTGGTGTAAAATTATCAGGATCAGTTGGAAAGACTTAATATTTCAGCGATATTAGTTAGTTGGATGTTAGGATATAAGAGGCTGGTAAATGGATTACCTCCTTTTTGGCAACCTGGCGTAAGTGACACGTCATCAATTGCAATGTCACCATGGTAACCATTTCCTTTCGTTGCTTCGATTACAACCTGAAATAACATCGATAGTGTTAGTGTTCATCAGTCAAAATCCCTACAGGCGGAAGTGGATTATATAATGGTTACATCACCACATTCCGTTTGTCTCTAGTTTGACAGTGTAAAGTAAAACATCAATACAATCGCATGGAATATGGATGGCATCATGGTAAAAAAATCATTTTGCACATCCTCCCTGGTATACTAAAGTATTCAAGTACAGATAAAGGTCACATTCTACCGGGTACCCATTTACTGACGATTGTTATTATGAAACCTTTTAGTTTCGTCATGAATGTCTTCTCATCAATGTAGGATTGTTTCAAAATATAACTTACACATCTTATCACATTACCGACGTTAATAGCATAATCAGCAGATATCATCAGCGACTATCTCCCTACCCGGTAGTCTCCTCATGAATGTATATATCTTGTAACATCACTGGCGTTTATAACATAATCAGCCCATATCATCAGTGACTATCTCCCTACCCGATAGTCTCCTCATGAATGTATATATCTTGTAACATCACTGGCGTTTATAACATAATCAGCAGATATCATCAGTGACTATCTCCCTACCCGATAGTCTCCTCATGAATGTATTTATCTTGTAACATCACTGGCGTTTATAACATAATCAGCAGATATCATCAGTGACTATCTCCCTACCCGATAGTCTCCTCATGAATGTATATATCTTGTAACATCACTGGCGTTTATAACATAATCAGCAGATATCATCAGTGACTATCTCCCTACCCGATAGTCTCCTCATGAATGTATATATCTTGTAACATCACTGGCGTTTATAACATAATCAGCCCATATCATCAGTGACTATCTCCCTACCCGATAGTCTCCTCATGAATGTATATATCTTGTAACATCACTGGCGTTTATAACATAATCAGCAGATATCATCAGTGACTATCTCCCTACCCGGTAGTCTCCTCATGAATGTATATATCTTGTGACATCACTGGCGTTTATAACATATTTAGGCCATATCATCAGTGACTATCTCCCTACCCGGTAGTCTCCTGCCCCGCCTTTGTTGTCCAGCGTGTTCTGGGACTCTATCCACACGTCTCCTGTATTCGTGGTGTAGTTGGCGATCATATGCAGCCCCGTCGCCGTGTAGTCGAATCTCTTGTAGATGGTGAGTGCGGCAACATCCGCGCCGTTCATGTCGTACCATAGTCGGATCTGTGTGGAACAAGAAACCAGTTTCAGGATCTGACAGTTTGGACTTAAATGACTAATAGTTTGGTTGGTTTAATACCACACTCAGCAATATTCCAGCTATATGACGGCGGTCTGTAAATAATCCAGACTGGACCAGACAATCCAATGATCGACGTCATGAGCATCGATCTACGCAGTTGGGATACGATGACATGTTCTAATAGTTTGGAATATAAAGATGAAAAGAAAAAAAAACCCAATGAAGTAATTGTGTTCATCCGAGTCACACTGCAGGCCCTAAGGACAGAAAGGTTGACGGAAGCCAAATTATTGTCAACTGAGTTCTTCAAACATCCAAACAATTCAAATTAATATTAATCAGGGGGCCATTTCCAAAAGCTGTAGAAAATACTTATATAACATACATGTCTCAATACTGACGGTACCGTTCCTGCAAGGGAGTTTCATTGTTCCCTTTCTTGTAGGCGTGTCATATGTTAAGACAAAATAAACTTTGTTTTTTGTACTCTTTTAACTATTACATATGAAAGATCTGTGGTTATACTTATGCGGAACACCAAATTCATTCTTAAAAAACTTTTGGTTAATTAATACCGAGCGATTAAAAGTGCCCAAAAAGTCGCCTGCTTCACTCTCGCCCGCCAACGAAACCACAGACAGGTTACGTAACTCTGTCGCCAGAGCACTGCAGTGACGTCATATGAGGAACGATTTTCAGTTAGTTGTATAGAAAGTGTGTAGCACGCTCATAATTTTGATGATTTCTCGACATCAACGACGACATGCCGAATCGTTGCTTTGTCGTCAATTGCTCCTAGAGGTCGGGCGATGGTGTCACCATGCACAGATTTCCACAGGACCCCGCAGTTCGTGATAAATGGGTTATGTTTGTGAGTGCGAAGCGAGCGTTGTGGAAGCCGGAAACGATATCTTACTTGTGTTCAGATCGCTTCACGGAAGTTAAAGAATCAAAACTACTTACTAGTTGTAGTAAAATATGTATATGATTGATGACCATAAAGATTTTCCATGACACAACTTGTAACATAACGATTTCTTCCTGGGAAGCGAGGTTGTGGTCGAAGTAACAATAATATTGTAAGTAGTATTATATTGACACCCACCTCGCTTCCACGAGAGAAATTGTTATGTTATAAGCTATGTCATGCAAAATCCTATTGGCCATCAATCAAATACATATTTTACTACCAGTAGAAAGTAGTTTTGATTTTGTAACTCCGTGAAACAAACCTAAATAGCATTTATCCTCAGACTGGCGGATGTTCGCGACAGGGCGCCGCCATTTTTGAAAATCGTAAAGTGACGGGCTAAAGTCTGTTAGAATTAATGAGATTATGGTTTGTTTTCATCAAGTTAGAAAATCAAAACTACTTTCTACTCGTAGTTAAATATGTATTGGAATCATAACCAAAAGGATTTGGCATGACAAAACTTATAACATAACGATTTCTTCCACGGCAGCGAGGTGGGGGTCGAAGTGACAATACTGCGCGATAAATTTCTTGCTACATTCACGTGGTTAACGTGCACTCACCAGTATGTAGATACTAGTCAATGTACGTCTTTATATTTGGTCTTATAATCCTAATTAGTTTATCATCATACTTGTATGCATTTTGAAACTAAATAAAAAGCAGACGATTTGCTGATACTTATAGTGAATTTATAACAGAACTGTAATATCTAGACATTTTATAGTTTGCCAATGTGAATCATAATTCGCACACACACCCTAGTGTAGGTTGTTTTTTCTCATTACACTTCATGGCGAAAATAATGATTCTGTTGAATGCTACGACAAATGAATAAAAACAAAATGCAAAAATAAAATTAAAACAGATTAAAGTTATAGGAACAATGTCAGGCTATTACCTTATTCGAGGAATGTATCCATCAATATCCACAAAAATGAGTGATATGCCATTCATCTGCAGCTGTTCCATCTGCAGCTTTTAACAGTTTAATATACGAAAAAGTGATAAATCTTTTCAGGTAATTCACATTGGTATATAGTCTCATTGGTCACCCAAGATAGCACACCTGGCAACTAATTGCATAATGTCCGCCCTTCTTTAAAAACAGTAATTTAGTTAGCCAATAATGGGCAATCAATCAATGTATTGCCGGTTAATCCTTTGAAAGAAGGACGTTGTTTTTACGCAGACACAGACACGACAGAGTGTATTCAGTATAGATTAGTAAATCTACATACATAAACACTACCTCTTGACAAATCCGCTGTGTAAGATAAAAGTAATTAATGAATCAGCGTGTTATCGGTTAATCCTTTGATCGGTGTTAATAATGTTGAATATTTACTCCAGACACAAGAAATGTCAAATGGGAACCTTTGTCGGGTAATCTAAGTGTGTTACCACTAATTATACTTGTTATAAATTCATTAACTGACCATCAAGTGAATGATGACAAATAACATGTGTAGGTTTATACCACCTAACACGGGTTACAACAAGGGAGTATTAATTGCTGTATTGCATGTGAAAACTTATGGGCCGACACTGTTTTGAGAATACAAACAGATTTTTACATGACATGATTAAATATCGAGGTAAAAAAACACAGAAATAGGATCAATTTGGATCAGTCATTATACAAATAAGGCCTAACGACACCAAGCGATTTTGACAGAATCGTCTATGAAAACAAGTTGTAACTCGGAAACTAGGCAAAGCAGGAGACAAAATTAAATGACAGTAGATTGTGAGAACATATAGCTTTCATTTTCCACAACAGTTGTCACGATTTCAGGTTTATACAAACCTGTAAACAAGATAATTTACCCCCTGAAATGTAGATGAATTCTGCATCGGCCCTCATATCTATTCCTCATATGACGTCACAGAGACGCCCCGCTCTGATTGGTTGAAATTTCGTTCGAGGGTGAGAATTGTGCACTTTTTGTGCACTCGATTTAAGTTAATTAAAGACCGAAGTGAGTAGTTTTAATGACGGGGTTTCGTTTATAGCGATGCCAGTTAGTGATTTATGTATTTGTACCCCCCTAGAGTATATGTGATCTTTAAGACAAAATAACGCCAAACTCAGCAATAGGGCAGCTACAGGACGGCGACTTGTCCAACCAGTGATTAAAATCATGAGCAACGATTCACGCCGGCAGGATACGATGACTCACAGTGGATCAAATCTGAGAGTCTGGCAACCCGACCATTCAGCTCCTCTAACCTGGAACCACTACACAAAGCTGGTGCCAAACAAATTGAAGCCGATCCTTCAAGTAATCCATACCACTAACTCAACACTTACAGCGCAGTTTCTGGATGAGCCCTTGATGGCAAAGGATGCGAGTCTGGCCTTGTCTCCTTGCTTGCTTGGTGCGGAGGTTTCTATGTATAGGTAGTGTCCTGGGAAGGGATATCAGAGAAGGTGAGTGTGACATAATTATACTGTGATCAAAAGAAGACAGATTCTATTCAAATTATGGAGCTCAATTCGTTTTGAGCAGTTGGTTGTAGTTTTAGTTTGGAAGACAGCATGACACAGCCTCGTCATACTTGAGGGTCTGCGAAATATGTCATAGATTGATCTGCAGAATATGCCTTAGATTAACCTGCGGAATACCTTAGATTAACTTGCAGAATGTGTCTTAGATTGATCTACTTTAGATTGATCTGCGGAATATGCCTAGGATTAACTTGCGGAATATGCCTTAGATTGACCTGTGGACTATGCCTTAGATTGACCTGCGGAATATGCCTTAGATTGATCTGCAGAATATGCCTTTGCTTAACCTGCGGAATATGCCTTAGATTGATCTGCGGAATATGCCTTAGATTGATCTGCGGAATATGCCTTAGATTAACCTGTGGAATATGTCTGAGATTAACCTAGCCTCACTGCATCGATGTCACAGCCTTGCAATATTTATTTCAATTCTGTTCACTGATGCCAAGATTATGGCCGAATTGCCTGACTCTCTTTCAGAAAGATCGGTTCCAAGAGAATATGTGATTTGAATACTCTGCTTCTTTCAGTAGATTTTCATGATTTGTCAAACTGAATCATGGGTTATTTGTGGTTCAAATATCCGTCAGTCTGTTCCATGTAGCTAGGAGCACACCACCGTACTGTGAGCATTAAACAACCAGTCACCCACCAACGCCCATACAAGATCGCCACAGTGGACAAAGAAAACTGACCTGTAGCGTGTCGTGATGTATGATCCACCGATGGTCCAGTGCCTGCGCTCGGTGTGGGACCTTGGTGCAATGTCCAGTTGAGCGTGGCGCTGACCTCCTGAGTCCAGGACGAGCAGATGTAATGCTCAAAGTCGCACCTTCCTGGGTACAGACTATCACACTGTGTTTGCTGTGAAAGAGTGAGTGAATGAGTGAGTGAGTACAATGGTTCTATCTCATCTAATGCATTCGTTGGCGCTACCAACTTCCTGAATCAAACTAGTACCATGATCGGGACAAGCAACACCTTCGAACCAATGGCCTGGTGGGCCAAAGGAACTCAGAAAAATTTAAATCCATGGACTCGATATCTGTTGAACTGTTGTTGAAATGTTGAACAAGTGAGTTCTGACCATGGTAAAGATAATGATGTCCAAGTTCAAATGGCTCGTTTTCTTTCATATGGATCCTATTCATCCCCAAAAGACACACATTTTTTACGAACTGACCATTTCGTCTGAATTATCTCCACAATCGTCGGCGAAGTTGCACTTTTTGGACTGGTCAATGCAGTAGCCGTTGCTGCAGGTCATTTGTGTTGCATCGCATCCATTAGGGGACGGTATTACTGGCTTACAGTTGATGAAGGATATGTCGTCTAGTCCAATGTCGCCTTGGTAGTCGCGTCCACGTCTTGCTTGGATTACGATCTGCAGGGAGATATTGTCAATTTGTCCGGGGTCTTATACGAATGGTCTTTACGTCCCCATTTCTGTTACTACAGGGATGCCAAATGTACGGTCACCAAGCTGATGGATAATAATCAGTAAAAACACCGATACCTTGTTCTTTGCAACGTTGAAGGGGATAACCTAGTGGTTAAAGCATTCACTTGTCACGAAGACCCAGGTTCGATAGCCAACATGGATATAAAATATGATGCCCATTTCATGGTCACCACCTGCGAAGATGATGAAGAATATTGCTAGAGTCACCACTTACAAAGTTAACTGGATCTATCTACACCTGAATGTACCTGGAGTGATTGCGAGGTTCCAAGGAAGATGAGTGCTTTTGTCCACGCCGTTCCACGCACTCCACTGGCCGCCCATGTCTGCTGCATGCTGCTACCAAACTTCATGTACACCTCCAGAGTTCCCAGAGCATAGCCAGACATGAAGTAGAAGAACTGCAGTTGACACTGAGGCCCCGTCTGACTGATTGTTGGAGTGATGATTGTTGTTGTGTCCTTGTAGGAACCTGGAGAACTGTCTGCCCACAAGAACCAGCCTGTGTTCGTGTCACTGTGGGTGTGGTCATGTGTGGGCCTGAATCACATTTAGTACACGTTAAGCCATGAGCATATTATATGAAAATGACCATGGTCATGGTTTGGCCTGAATCAACAACATTGATGATAACGGTGTTAGGATCACGTTACTAGCCATGATCATATCATTATCAACCAGCTTCTAAATGACTAAGGAAGTGAGTATACACATGTCAACTCATTTCGTATATTTGTGTCAATTTATTCACCCTTACACCCGTGAACATCCGGGTCATCGTATCCCAACTGCCTGACGGGATGGATCGATACATGGCTGGCACGTATCACTTGTTAGGGATGCACATGATGTTGATTGCTGGAATATTGCTGAGTTCGGGTAAAGAAATCAAATGAACAAAGATGTTCACTCTAAGATGCAAGATGTTGATAGATCCACATGGTTACAATGTGTCACAGCAAGACCCAGGTTCAATTCCCCACATGTCCAATGTGTGAAGTCCATTTTATTGCTGGAATATTCCTAAAAGCGATGTAAAACTAAATTCATTCACTCACTCATGCTGCTGGGACGTACCTGTACTTGTTGTTCTGTAAGGTGGAGGCGTAGGTGTCGTACCAGATGTATGTCTGCCCAGGAACAAGCTCAGTCTGGTTAATATACCAGTTACCCATGTCACCTGACTCAAAGGTGGTTGTCGCAGCGACTAAAACAGAAAGTAGCCTTTGGATGGAATTTAGAAGTGATACACATGAAGGGAAAACATTATGGAGAATCATCAACTTCTGTAATATGAGGAACACAACGGTTCGGAGTAAAAACATACTGCTCCATCTTGTGGACACAGAAGGTATGAATGATGAAGGAGCATGAATATACTCCGAAACGTCGTGGCCCTCATATTACAAGATTTGATATCATACATTTTCCCCTTTAAAACAGAAATTGTTTATGGACCTGATCTCGCACAGGAGGATTACAGCTCCGGAATAGGAGTGTCGTGTCGCAAACAAGCCAGGATGAATTTCAATTTCTATTATTATGATTGAATGTATTGTGGTTACATTATTTGTGAAGGATTTGTTCATGATTAAAGCAAACTAGCAGACCTTCTATGTACATCTATCACTTAAATTCCTGATCAATGTGGGTGACAAGCCTTCACAGTTTAATTAACACGTCACCCATGCCATTCCTATTTACATTCAAGTTATGTCAATTTAGGTTACATCTATACTTGGGTACATACCACAGTTGGATTCATCCGAGCCGTCTGTACAGTCCTGTCGGAAGTCGCAGACTTTTATCTTGCTGATGCACTTCCCACTTGCATGACAGTTGAACTGCTTGGTCAGATCACAGGAATGAGGTGCCGTAGTTGGTGGGGTCAGTGTTGTCCCAGTCACAGCAGTACGAGGGGCATCTGGTAGAGATTGTCCGGAGTATTGGCAGTCTGGTGTGAAGGACACGTCATCAATGGCAATGTCACCTAAGTAGCTGTCTCCGATCTTGCCCTCAATGATGACCTGGAAGCTGCTGGAACTGTTCAGAGCGACGTCACCCTGTTGCCAGGCTGCACCCTGATCTCCTGCCCTTGCCCAGACAATGTTGGTAGGTGTTCCAGAGTTGTAGATCCTGGTGTAGATGTTGAGCTGCTTGACAAACTTTCCGTACATGTAATAGCTGAACCTCATATGGCAATTCTTCCCTTCTGTTGGACTGAATGTTTTAGTCATCAACCACGCCTTGTCATTATATTTGTGTGGTTGTGAGGCTTCCATGTATAAGTAATGTCCAGTAGCTAATCCAGTAGTGTGGTCCCGATCTGGGCCACTGTTGTACGAGGGAGTGCTGCCGTTCCAGCGAATCCAGTCAAAGTTATCATCAACCCCGTTTCTGCCTTGGAGCAGGTCCCCAAAGCCACTCTCGAAGTCAAACTTCATGTATGTTGAACAGTCTGGGTCTGTTTCATCGGAATTGTCCCCACAGTTGTCGGTTATGTCACATTTCCTACTTAAGCTGACACAGGCCTTATTTGTGCACCGGAACTGAGTTGCTTGGTTACAGGATGGCTGGGGAAGGGCTCGCCCACAGTCTTGGAACTGGAATTGATCCAGTGCAATTTTTCGCGCGTAGTAATAGGGACCAACCACTTCAAACTCCAGTGTGAACGGAGTCTGTCTTCTACCGATTCCCACTGTTGTGTGTTGCCAGTTCTGTCCATCGTCAGAGCTCTCTTGCCATAGCGTTGATTTGTCTCCCTTTTCGTAGATGGAGAGTGTAAGACGAGTGCTGAAGCCAGATCCTTGCATGTAGTAGTAAAATTGTAGCTTGCACTCGGCACTGGCTCCATTGTAAGTTGGACTTGTGAAAACGGCATTGTTACTATTTGGATGACCTGATGTCTGATCATGAATGAATACAAAGTATCCCTTAGGGTTAGATGTGCTGTCGACCGTGGGAGCCATCGCTCGTACACTAGCTGTTGAAGCCCCTGATGCTCTCTCCCAGTTGAACTTGTCTTGGTGAGCGTTTAACCAGCCACATGTATCTGTGTCAAACCCACACGTGATTGGGCACATTTGTTCGTCTATGCCATTGGGACAATCAGGGGTAAAGTCACATGTCTTGGTTGGAGGGATACATGATCCATCACTGCAGGTGAACTGATTGTTAACACATGGAGTTCCAGTGAAGTTAGCTGGAGGTGTAAATGTCTGGTAGTGTGTGGTTGCTGTAACTGGGACGTTTGTGGCTGGTGGAACAGCACCACAGCCAGGTGTGAATGTGATATCATCTATTGCTATGTCACCTCTGTATCCAACACCAATCCACACCTTCAATGATTGCCTCATATGGCGTTGAGCTTTGGAAGTTTACCTCTTGTCGCAACCACGTGTTTCCTTGTTCACTTGTTGTTGAGGACAGCAGTGTTGTTGCCTGGAATGTTTTCTGATAGACATTGAGGGCACCAATGTTTGATCCATACATATGATACCAGAATCGGAGGGAACAAAGGCCGTTGGTCTTAGGCAAGGTATATATTATTCTTGCAGTGTCGTTAGGCTTTCTTGGGGCTGATGATTCAATGTATAGATAGTATCCTGTTGTTGAAAGAGTTGTATGATCGCTGCTTGGTCCTGTCATCAATGACGATGTTCGACCACGTTGTCTTGTCCAGTTAAAATTGTCATTCATATCCTGAACCCATCCACATGTACCTTGTTCAAAGTCACATCCATAATATGCAAGGCAGTTATTGACTGATTCATCCGATCCATCACAGCAGTCTGTTTGATAGTCACATCTCAGGTTTTCCGGAACACAGTGGCCACTTGCACACTGGTACTGTCCAAGAAGGCATTGCCCCTGTGGCAACGATTCTCCACAATTCACAAAGGCCAGATCGTCAACTGCAACGTATGAAGGTGAACTTGAAAATGCAACAGCCTCAAAGACAAGCTGGAAGTCTGAGGAGCAGACTGGTAAGTTCACAGTGACATTGTACCAGTTGTTCATTGGTTTAGGACTAGTGGGCATTTGCCAGATATGTTTATCCATTCCTCCCGTCCTTAGCAGCAGACTGAATGATGAGAATCCTCTTCCTGCTAAAGCATACCAGAATGTTATGGTACAAGTAGGGCCGCCTTGACTAAAAACTGGACTGACAAGCTGTGCCTTCTCCGGTAATGTCCGCCCAGAATTACTTACAACTGCGTAATGACCATTATTTTGTCCTGTTGTGTGATCCCCGCTAGGTCCGGTTTTACTTGCTGGGTTTCCATTAGTGCCTAGAGTCCAGTTGAATGTCGATCCTGCAAGTTGGTTAGTCCATTGACAAAAGTTGCCACCTTCAAAATTACATGTAGAAGGACAAGATGCTTCATCACTTCCATCTGAGCAATCTTTTCTGAAGTTGCAAGTGGATCCTACATTAACACATTGTTTCCCATCTTTGCATTGCTGTTTACCAAACCCACACGGTCCAGGCGTTCCTTGAGACACGGGAAGAGTAACCCTGTGAGCAACATGACATCCTGGTGTAAATGATACATCATCAAGTCCAATGTCTCCAAGATAGCCACTTCCACTCTTTGCCTCAATGACGATTCGGAAATTTTGCTGACTGGTGAGGACAAAACTTGCATGATTCCAGGCATCGTCTTGGGCGTTACTTCTCATCCATACAGGATCCCTGCCTCCCACATCAGCTGTTTGCTTGTATACTGTCAGGGAGTTGATGTCTTTACCAAACATGTGATAGAAGAACCTCATGCTACAGGTACCCGTCATTGTTGCCAGGAAGATAGGACTCATGATTCTTGCAGTGTCATTTGGTCTGCGCGGACTCGATGTTTCTATGTAGATATAGTATCCAGTCTCGTTACCATAGGTGTGGTCAGAATCTGGACCAGTACCAGTCGTCATTGTTCTTCCCCTGGTTCTTTGCCAGTCAAAGTCATCTGTATCATCTTGGATCCAGTTACACATGTCATGTTCGAAGTTACAGCGTTCCACATAGTTTGAACAGCTCGATTCATCGGACCAGTCTCCACAGTCATTCTGGAAGTCGCACAGTGAATTCTGATCAACACATGATCCACTCTTGCAGTGGAACTGATTACTAGAACATGAAGCCATTTGACTACCCATGGCACACTGGCTGAATGAAATGTCGTCAATTGCCATGTCTACAGATTTCTGGAACTGGGTTGCCTCAAACATTAGACGGAATCCAGGTGCTCTTGCTCCTATTCCAACAGTTACATTGGCCCACTGATTGCCTTTGTCACCAATTGCTGACCAGAGCAAAGTTTTTCCTGTCTTACTGTTCGCTGAAGCTCCTTGAGCAAGGAGAAACAGTCTCAGTACTCCTCCCTGATTGCCATTTTTAAACATCCAGAACGTAACTTGGCATCCACTTGCTAGTTGACCATAGACTGGAGACATCATGACTGCATCACCAAAGAAGGTTCCAACAGAGGAGTCTACAAACATGTACCAGCCCACTCCAGACAACCCTAGAGTATGATCATTTGAAGGACCTGATACAGCTGATGGTGTGGACCCATTATGTCTGTCCCATCTGTATCTTCCTGCGCCAGCAACAGTCCAACCACAGAGACTTGTCTCGAAGTTACATTTTCCACAAAGAGTCTCATCAGAGCCATCATGGCACTGTGCGATGAAATCACATACTTGCGTTGAGGATATGCACTGATTTCCTGTAGAACATTGGAACTTTCCGGCACCACATGGGCTTTGTGTTGAAGGTGTGGCAATACCTGGTTGAACCGTGGGAAATGATCCAGTGTAGTTGGTGCATTGAGGTGAGAATGTGATATCATCAATAGCAATGTCACTGAAATAGCTCCTGCCAACACTTGCCTCAATGACAACTTGGAATGGAGTAGTAGAGTAGAGAGGGACCTCTGTCCTGGCCCAGAAGTTACCTACCTCTCCTTGTCTCGTCCATTTTTCAGCAAGGGTCCATTTACAGACGATCTGGTGTACACACTTAGGGATGCTACATCTTTTCCATACATTAGATAGTAGAACCTCATGGTGCAATATGGACCAGTTGTTGATGGTCCAAACACCATACTAGCCATTCTTGCATTCTGACCTTGCTTCCTTGGAGATGATGTTTCAATGTAGATATAATGTCCAGAAATTGTGTTCAACGTATGATCTTTTGATGGACCTGTCTGGGCTGAGGGTGTCTGGCCAGCGCGACGCGACCAGTCAAAGTCATCATCCTTCAACTGTGTCCACATACAGATGCTGCTTTCAAAGTCACAGCCGATGTAGCGTGCAGCACAGAGTGTTGGTGCTTCATCTGACCCATCTCCACAGTCATCAGTGTAGTCACACTGTCTGTTTGTATCTATGCATGCGTTGTTGTTACAGGTAAACTGGGCCGCTGTGTGGGTGCACGACTGAATCGTTGGTAATCCACAGTGCTGGAACTGAATGTCGTCAATAGCAATATCTCCGAGAACACTATAGGTTCTGGCTGCTTGGATGATGATTTGGAAAGGTCGGCTCATACGTCCAATGGGCACTGTTACTTGATACCATTTGTTGCCATGGTTTCCTGTTGTGTACCATACCCTTGTCCGCAGTGTCCCTTCCGCTTGATACACAGTCATTGTTCCTATTCCACTTCCATACATATGATACCATAATGACATCTGGCATGTTGAAGAAGATTGTTGCAAGACAGGACTGGTAAAATCGGCCCGTTGGTAAACGCTTCCATTAGAAGCATCAACATACATGTAATAACCTGATGCTGAACCTAGAGTGTGATCAGTTGAAGGGCCAGTGTTGGAATCGGGAGTTGCGCCATGGTACCTTGCCCATGTAAAGCCTCCGTTAGCTCTTGACACCCATTTGCAGGTACCATTATCAAAGTTACAGTTGTAGCCACACGCAGTTTCTTCTTCTCCATTTGGACAGTCAGAGTTAAAGTCACATACATGGGGAGTGCTGACACAAGTTGAGATAGTTGGACACTTGAACGCACAGTTCTGGAATGGCGTAGGAGTAGGGATGGCATTACAGGCACCTACTTGTAAAACAACATCATCGATAGCCATATCACTTAAGTAACTGCGCCCAACTATTCCCTCAATTATGATCCTGTAGTCAACTGTTTGATTGTGGATTGTCAGTCTTGTCAGATACCATTGTGTTGCAGAAGTGGCCTTCTGCACCGTCAGGAGATTTTGTGCTGCTGCACCATTTGGCCAGAGTTTTACATTAATAGATCCCATGCCTGACCCATACATGTTGTACCAGAAGGAAAGACATCGTGTCACATTACTGAATGCTGTAGATACAAGCCAAGCTTTGTCACCTTGTTTCCTTGGACTAGAAGCTTCAATGTAGGCGTATGTTCCATACCTTGAGTTTAAAGTGTGGTCTACACTGGGGCCAGTTCCTGAAGAAGATGTACCACCCTTGCCTCTTAACCAATCAAACGTGTCATTCTTTCTATTGTTTTGCCAGGTACAGAAATCGTTTTCGAATGAACAGTCACCTTCGGGTGCACATGGTGTGGGTTTATACATTATATCATCAATTGCAATATCACCCAGGAATCCACTACCAACTATACCTTCAAATGTAAATTGGAATTGGTTTGTGCTTCGCAGATTCACTTGTGCAATGAGCCAGTCAGTGTTGATATTTCCACTTCGTGTCCACACTGGAGTCCCAAAGGTTGTTTGCTTGTTTCTGATATACATTCAAAGTTCCCATTGTTCGACCATTCATGTTATACCAAAACTGAAGGCAAGACCCTGAAGTTGGATCAAGAAGTGGACTATCTAGTCTTGCCTTATCACCACGCCTTCGTGGCGCTGATGTTTCAATGTACATGTATGCACCTTCTGGAGTTCCAAAGGTGTGGTCACTTGTCGGCCCAGTTCCAAAACTTGTTGTTCCTCCATGGTGTAGTGTCCAGTCAAAGTTGTCAGAGTATTCCTGAGTATAACCACACGTTCCCTCTTGGAAATCACATGACGCTTGAGCTGGACAGTGGTCAGTGTTCATTGATATATCATCAATGGCAATATCTCCTTGAAAACCGGATCCAGAAAATGCTTCGATAACAATAGCAGTAGACCCTGAAAAGCCCTTCAAGAATATCTGGGCATATTTCCACATTTGTCCTTGATCTCCAGCTCGTGTCCATAGCCTTGTGTCTCGTCCTCCATTCCTGGCGTACACATTTAGTCTGTTAATGTTTGCTCCATACATGAAGTACCAGAACTTGAAGCAGCTGCCTTGTGGTGATATTACCCACGTTGTACTGATCAACCGTGCTGTGCTATTGGGAGCTCTGGATGAAACCTCAGTGTACATGTAATGTCCCTGATAATCCCCGCGAGTGTGATCAGCTGTTGGACCTGTGTTTGTCGAGGATGTGCTACCTGCATGCCTTGTCCAATCAAACATATCAGCCTGGTCTTGTAACCAGTCACAGATATTCATTTCAAAGTCACAGTCAATTTTCGTGGGTGGATAGGTTGCTGGTGAAGTCACAGTCGTTGGTGTCGTCATTGTCGTTGAGGCGCCATAGCATCTGTAGTTGGACACTGATATGTCATCAATGGCGACATCGCCAGTGTAGTTTCCACCATATACTCCCTCAAATACCACATCATAATCTGAGGCTTGGTTAACAGTGACCTGACCCAGTCTCCATAGGTTACCCTGATTGCCAGCCAAAGACCACACGAGCTTGGTGTAATTTGAAGCTACTGACTGTGTGTAGACATTGAGGGCTCCAACGCCTGAACCATACATGTAATAATAGAATCGGACACAGCTTCCGTATGAGCTTGTTGCATGAAGATGTTCACTAACAAGTCGTGCCTTCTGTCCTACTATCCTGTTGGATCCTGATGTTTCGATGTACATATAGTACCCGTTAGTTGTGCCCAGAGTGTGATCAACCCTTGGTCCTGTTGCTGCGCTTGGTGTTCCACCGTAGTCTCTGAGCCAGTCAAAGTCATCTCCTGTCTGAATGTTTACGTATCCACACATGTCCTCTTCAAAGTTGCAGTAGCCAGGGGGTTTACAACCACCATCCTCCCATGCTATATCATCTATAGCAATGTCACCTGTGTATGAAGATCCTCGCACTGCTTCGATTTGGATTTGGAATGGTTTATTGTGAGCGTTGACCATCATGCTGGCTCGTCTCCACAGATTTCCTTGGTTGCCATTCAAATACCAAATCTGGCTTCTGAATGTCCCATTTTGCTGTTGGTACACGTTCAAACTTCCAACGCCACTTCCGTACATCTGGTACCAGAATGTTAAACATGTCATTGAATATTGTGTATATGTACCGTAAAAGCTTTGGTGACCATTATACATTGGACTGATAAGGACAGCCCGGTCTCCTCTGACCCTTGGAGCAGATGACTCAATAAAAGCAAAGTGACCTGTATTAGAGCCAAACGTGTGGTCATAGGTAGGGCCAGTTCCCAGTGATGAGGTTCCATTGCTTCCAATGGACCAGTCAAATTCATCTTGCGTAGACTGTCGCCAGTTACAGTACCCATTTTCAAAGTCACATCCTCGGGGTGTTGGACATGCTCCCTTTACTATTGTGATATCATCAAGAGCTATGTCACCTTGATATCCTGATCCAACGGTTCCTTCAATGTATACAATATAGTCTATACTTGAGACCAGCGTTCTCTGTCCCTTCATCCATTTATCGCCTTGGGGCCCTGACCTGGACCAGAACACGGAGGAGTTGGACTCTTTGTTTAGACGGATGGTAAGATTTCCAATGGTAGGCCCGAACATGTAGTACCAGAAACTTAAACAGTGTCCGTCTGATGGTGTTGGTGGTAGTAGAGGACTCTGCAGTCTTGCAATGTCTCCCTTTCTTCTTGGAGAAGATGTCTCAATATAGATGTAATATCCAGATCTATGAGTGGAATGGTCAGACCTTGGTCCTGTTCCAACACTGGTTGTTGTGCCTGACTTCCGTGTCCAGTCAAACTGATCATCTTGCGCCTGGGCCCAGGAACATAGATCCCTTTCAAAATTGCAAGCGAGGTTTGGAGGGAACACTTTACTGTCACAATAGTTGAAGGAAATGTCATCAATAGCAATATCAGAGGTGGGTGTTGCGGTGAAGCCTTGAGATGGTAGAGCCCTGAATTGGATTGTGTAATTACTTGGCATGGCATTTCTAAAATTTGACCCGATATACACTGTGCCTCTGTACCATGCTGTCGACGAGTAATATATGCTTGATCTTCTGCTGAAAATGCGTTTGTATACACCGTTGATAACAGTCCCTGCCTCAAGTGTTCCAGCATTTCGTCCTCTCATGTTATAGTAGAAGAACATTTGGCAATAAGTTGACGGTGCTGATAGTGTTGGACTCTGAAGGACAGCGGAACTGTAGAATACACCTTTGGAGTGTTCCACGAACATATAATGACCTTTGTTTGAACGTAGAGTGTGATCGGCTGCAGGACCTTTGGAACCCATGGCTGAGCTGGTGCTCTGAGTCCAGTTGTATCTGCCTGTGCTGAAGTCCGTCCATCCACATGAGTCAGTTTCAAAGTCACATGGTCCACAGTTTCTTTCATCAGAACGATCAGAGCAGTCTGGAGTGTAGTCACAGACCTTAGATGCAGTCACACATGTTCCGTCTCCACACTTATGACCTCCGTTGTTGCAGGGATTGACTGTCGTGGTCGGTGATGTCGCGGGATACAATGCTGTAGGTAGTGTTACACCAGTTATCTTGCAATTTGGACCGATTACAGTGTCATCAACAGCAATGTCACCAGTGTATGTAGTTCCACGGACTCCTTCTATCATTATCTGGAAGTTCTGGGTGTTGGTGAGTTGAACTGTTGCTCTTGCCCATAAGTCTCCCCTGTTTCCACTCTTGCTCCATACCTTCTGCACATACCCTCCTGTCTGGGTCACCATGTATACGTTCAACGACCCTGTCCCCACGCCATACATGTGGTAGTAAAACGTGAATGTGCAGTGATCTGATGATGAAGCAGGTTGGATCACTCGGCTTAGAAGTTGTGCTTTGTCGCCTGCCCTGCGAGGAGCAGATGATTCAATGTAGATGTAGTACCCAGAATTCATGTTGGTGGTGTGATCTCTCGTTGGCCCGGTGTTGCTTGATGATGTAGGTCCTCTGTGTCTTATCCAATTGAAATTGTCCTTAGTACTCTGTGTCCAGTGACAGAAAGACTGTTCAAAGGTGCAAGTTGATGCCCTGAGGCACAAGGATTGGGCTTCATCACTGTTATCTCCACAGTCATCGGTAGTATCACAAACTCGGAATAAGTCCACACAAGCTCCGTTCGCACATCGGAATTGTGTCGTTGCATTACAGCTGGCTTGGACTGGTGGGAGGGCACAGTTGATGAAGGTGATATCATCCACAGATACTACACTTCTCGAGTAGTAACTTCTGCTGGCTCCGACAAGTACTTGGAATGGTGCACTGATTCTACCAATATCTGCATATCCGAGCGTCCATGTGTTTCCCGTTCTAGCAGTCTCTCTGAAGATGACAGTTGTTCGTGTTCCAAGCTGTATGGAAATAGTGATCTGTCCATTGTTATAACTGGTTCCACTGTTCATGTAATAGAAGCGCATCTGACACGTGGAGGAGGACTGCCTCATTGTTGGGCTGGCTAATGTTGCCTGTGCATTTACTGTTCCTTTGGCACTGTCAACGTACAAAAAGTGACCATTAATTGTTCCCATTGTGTGGTCTACATTTGGCCCACTCGAGGACGTCATGGTGCTGTTCTGACCAATCTGCCATCTAAAAGATCCCTTGCTTGCATCATTCCACGAACAGAGTCCTGATTCAAATGTACAGTTGCCACAGGTGACTTCATCACTGCTGTCAGTACAGTCCTGGCTGAAGTCACACACTTTGCTTGCTGAAATAACCTGTCCGCTTTTGCAGGTAAACTGAGTTGGTGTACTGGTGGATGAGCAAAGTCCTGGCGTGACTCTCAGATCATCAATAGCGATGTCGCTGGTGTAGCTTGTTCCCACAACAGCTTCGAATATGATTCTGAATTGGGCCGGGGACTGAACAGACACGGCTGCGTTGCCCCATTGCATGCCTTGGTTGCCCGTGCGATGCCAGAGGTTCTGTAGAGGTGCTTGTGGTGTTCCAACAGAGGGGTCAAGATAGACGTTGAGAGTTCCCATGGAGCTTCCATACATGCTGTACCAGAATGTGAGACATCCTCCAGCAGACATCCTCAGAACC